TTTATGGCCTTTCTGTTCATGATTCCACACCAATACGCTACTTCTTTCTCCTAAGTAGCATCAACACCACAATAGGGAGGAAGCACACGAAGGTGAAAGATGTAAAAGCTGTGGAATTGTGGGGTCATGAGCCTTGGCCTGTCAAGAATATCAGCCCAAAGTACCAATGAATGCCAACTGAGTTTAGGAGCAGCAGAAAAATCTTAACTTTGCTTAATCATTTTGTAGAGACTGACTCAAACTCAGCTCCTGGTAACTCTGCAGAATTGAGCAGAGTCCGAATTCTGCTAAAATACCAGATTGTTCCTTACAAGTATCCAGAAATACACTCAAGCTAACAACCTTTACCAACCTAGCACCTTCAAAATGTGTGGACTACACTTCCCACCAGTCCTGGCCAACATGGCCATTTAGCACATATCTTTAGGCATTAGAAGGTCATCTAAACCTTTAGACCTGTCCTGGTCTAAAAGTTCAGTTTCATCACTGGGTTCACACATCAGACATAACCAGGATCTTTGAACCATTATTCATTGTTGAGATATAATTCATATAAAATGCCAAACCAAACAGTTGAGTTCACTCACTGTGCTGAGCCAAAACCAAACCAATCATGATACGTCTCAATGAGAAGTGTCAATTCAACCTACATGTCCAAAGGGAAATGGTAATAGTGCAGGATTCTTGCAGAATCCCAGCTTTCACATTTAATGCACTTTGAAATTAGGATCCCTTTATAAGAACAGGGGGAAAAATAGATTAAGAGTTAAAAACAGCTATTTAGTCTAAGTCCTGTTTAATGCAAGATTCCAAATTTAAGCATCCCAACAGACGGCTATCCAGCTTCTGCTTGACCACATGCAATGAATGGGAACCTATTGGTCGTAATTTTGCTGTCCATTCCTTGTACATGTATTTCTTTCTAAAGTTCAATCAGAATTGATCTTCCTATATCTTAAATCCATGTCCTTCACTCTAGAATGATAGGAAAAAGTCTTGACCTTCTTCTGTGTGATATCCTTTTAGGTATTCAAAGAGTGCTATGAAGCTATGGGAAGGATACACGGGTTGGACTCCTAACAATCTCACAGAGAGATCAGTGGCCTGTTTCAGCCCACCCGGCCAGTTGTCTCTAACGTCATACCCTGCAGCCTCTGCATAACACACACTGTCTCTCCAAGTGAATGAGGTTCACAGTTGAATGAAGTTCACATTTGAAAATTGCAAAACACACATCAAGAATGTCCAGAGGCTGATCTAAAAGGTTACACAATGGGTACAGTAAGTGCAAGAAAAAAACGAAGTAACGGAGTCCATGAGATATGATTTGGCACCTACCCCATTCATGAAAATTTGAGCCAAATTAAACAGCCGCAATCTGTTGCTGTCCTAGGGCTCATTATATTATCACAAGGCAGCCCTGACTGCTGAACAAGCTCACACCTGGTGCAGCGTGCCCGACTTGGCCTTCTAAAGTTAAATTCCTACCAAATATTCCGATTCTGACTCAACTTTGTTTTTAAAAATAAGCCTGGGATGACATGTTGTGAAGAGGAGAAAGCACTGAGATCATCACGATTTCAAATTCCAGCCCCCCACCACTCCTCCCCGTCTCTCCTTCCTATCTACAGTGGAATGACTAACTCTGTTTTGGAACACAAGACACTGTTCCGCCCTCCTCTGCATTACAGCTTGCAGGAAAGTCTATACAGGAGATTTATAAACTGTGTGGGGGAAATAAAAAGACTTCCCCCTCACCAACTTTTAACTGAAAACCAAAGCCATTGATTCTCCAGTGCATCCATAATTAAATCTTACCTTTGTCAGCTTCTCTTGTAGCTCCTGAATTTTGACCTGTTGTTCTGCATTGATCTAGACAAGGCAGGAAGGGAAATAACATGTGTAGAGAGTTGGAATCACCTTGAAAGCACAAAGAAGCTTTAATGCCACCTCCAGCCTCATTTCAAAGTATCAGACCCTAATGATTACATGGCTCCTCTTTAGATCAGTGTGTCCTAAGTAAGGTCTCTGAACTTCAAGGGAATAAAAGAAAGGGCCTCATTCTGATTCAGTGTAGGCCAGTAAACAGTACTAAGTTTCTATTTTCAAGGTAAAAAGTCTATAGAAGGAAGCTTGAGTATTTTGAGAACAGAGAATATGCATTATATATCTGCCAACAAGTCACTTTGGTACAGCACTATATTACTGGTTTGGCTGGTTATCTAAATTCAGTATGCATATCCCTGACCTCATCTCTGCAACTTATAGCCATACTGACCAATCTTCTCTGTCCATTCTCGCCAGCATTGTTCCATCTTAAATGCCTTCTGCTAACCTGTTCCTTTCTTCCTCTGAACTGTTCAATCTTCCATCACTATTCCTAGCTCCCCTTGATCTGGCTTCTTACATATCTTCATACTTTGTTCTCTTCTTTCTTCCTCCTATTGGATTTAAAAAGCTCAGCTAATGGCAGATACAGAATTTTGTGCCCTTCCTTCTCATAGGGATAGTAGGGCAATTCAACCATCACAGCCTCTGTTTTTCACAGTGGAAGAAGTTGAACATGGAAATCTCCTTGCATGTTCAATGAATAGGCAATGGAATCAGATGAAATCCCCACAGGTCATGCTTTCTCATGCCAGAACATCTGGGGTTACACTCACTACTAACTGCAAATTTCACTTTAGTAAGAATGAGGTTCCCAACTGATGTCCTTTCCACATCAGGACCTAGCAGAAGTTTGCCTCCACGGCTCTCCAGCCCACAGCATTTCAAGCTTCTCCTCAGATCTTCTCTGTAGCATTTAATCCGCAGTCCCTGCTCACCTTAGCTCTCCTTTCTTTGTTTCCACACCTCTATCATTCCTTATTTTAATCAACTGCTCTCCTGCTCTTTCTTTCTTCATTAAACTTCTATCTTGCTCAAGGTGGCATCACACTTTTTTTCTCCACAATAACCATCCTTTCAGGTAGGTTGGCCCAAAGTCTCTCAGTAAGATTCATGGCTGAGAATAAACTTGGGACCTGGATCTTAAGCCAAATCCTTCACCATTAGTCATTCCAACTTCATCATGGTCATTCCAACTCCAACTTACCTCCTACTCTGTCTTTCAGCTATCTCTTTTCTAATCTCTAGTAGATTTCACAGGCCTTTTCTCTTTCATTTGGAACTCTTTTTTCAGCATCCTGAATCCCTTTCCTCTCCATTTCCTCAAATACCTGCTTCCTAGTCTTATGTCTCCCTAAATGTTTCAATTTATTTATGTATTTATTTATTTATGTATTTATTTATGTATTTATTTATGTATGTATGTATGTATTTATTTATTTATTTAAGGAATTTATAAAACTGCCCCACTCACAATTTGTGACTCTGGGTGGGATACATCGATAAAAATAAAAAACAATTAAGTCAAAAGATTAATACAACACAGTACCA